TGAAAACCTCCGTATTCCTTCTTTTCCTGTGTGTCAACTTTCACGGTTGCTAAGCAACGGAGCATACGGCGGTAAAACCCGCCGAAGGGTAGACCTGGTTGAATTTACAGCCAAAACTCTTCCGGTCTCCTTATTTTCAAGGACTTCGAAGGATCCAGTCTAGGTAGACCGCGTCCTTGGAGGACCCGTCCTAGGTTTTCGAACAGAGCCTGAAAGTCAAATCCTTGAGGACCGACGTCCTACAGCACAGCTTTTAGATGTGTCTCTGCTTCGACCCAGCTGACTTCAATGTGAGCTCATTAACATATATGGGCTGGTGTTTGTAAAGTGGTTAAGTTATCTGATTCAGGTGGGTATAATAAGGGACACATCCAAAAGCAGGACATCAGATTTTGAGGATAGTTTGCTACCCTTGGTCTGAATGACAGATACAATACGAAACAAACTATACCTGCTATAAAGTTTCATTGTAAAACATTATTCCTGGAGTATAAAACATCTAGAGTTACAGTATATTCAGTCACCCTTCAGAGGACAGCACAAACAGGCTCTAACCAGAGTAGAAAAAGAAGTGGGAGGCCTCATTGCACAACTGAGAAAGAAGATAAGTACATTAGAGTCTCTAGTTTGAGAAACAGACGCCTCACAGGTCCCCGACTGGCTCATGATTTTATCAAGAGCTCGGACCCACATCCAGAGAAACCAATTCAGAGAGAGACCACGGGAAAAGGTTTAACAGGTTTATTGAAGAGATAATGCAGAATGAAGTGTTGCTCTGAACACTGCTCAACCGGAACTGATAAGTGAGGGGAAGACACAGCGGTTAGTTCAGGCTAAGTGGGAAATTTGATTCGTGAACTTGAAGAGGAGGATTTGGTTGCTGACTAATTTTTCCAGATAAGTTGTTGACTCTTTGACTCCAGTCTGTGTGCTGTTGTTCCAGTGTTTGTCTGATTTGGTGGAGGGCGGAACACAGTTTACCCAGAATGCGATTGTTTGTAGGTGAACGGAGAAACTGACTGCCACTCAGATTTCCTGCGGTAATTGAACGGGTCGTATTGGAGAAGAATCCCTTGCTCAGTTTGCAGGATGACTTCCTGCCGAGAGGCAAAGACAAAAAAACAAGATTAAGACTCAGGTTGTCAAGAACTCAGTTTGACTCAGCGAAACTCAGCTTGGCTAGAGTACCAAAAACTGGCAAACACTCTGGCGTCGAGGTAGTGGCAGTCAGCAGCTTAAGAACACTCCGTTAACGAGGTAACCATCTGCAGGTGTGTGAGGAGGCGGCCCAGAACCATACGCCTCCTGGTGGAGGAAGGGAGACAAACACAGAAACACAAACACACAGAGAGGAATCCTGACATTCATTAAATACCCGCAGTAGCCTGTTTGAGCTCTCTTCTGAAGGGAGTAGTACACA